GAAAATGTTCTTCAGGTGACTAAATATATGCTTCTGTAACTTGCAAATAGGAGGCTTATGAACCATACCTTCTAAAAACCCCAGTTATGCTGGGGGTGGAACTCCCTGGAGAGCATATGTCCTAGAACGAGCTATCTAGGAGGTTAGAGGCCAGCCCACAGAAGACTGTAGCCTAAGGTGATGAGGTAGCTATTCCCATAGAGAGGTGTTGGGAGACCAAAGGCTGTGGACTGACCAGATGATCTTAGAAATATGTGAGTTCTCTTACCCTCTACTTAGAAAGCCTGGTAGTATCTAGGTTGTCATGTTAATCTGGAGAGATTTCTCCAGTACCTATGACAATTTGAAAGAAACCTATAGTAATTAGCTGGCTGGGGTACTCAATTCTAGCACTTGGAGGATGAAGCAGAAAGATCACGAGGGTTGAGGTCAGCCTAGTTTACATGGCAAGTTTGATGGTGAGATTCTGTATCAAAGAACAAAGTGTTTGTGTGTTTGTGTGTTCGCACGCACGCGAGTGCGTGCATGAGAGCACACTCATGCACAGATGCATGGTGTCTGGAAGAAGGGTCTGTGAGCCAATACATTTGCTTTAAGTAGAGGCTCTCAGAAGCCTACTACAATGCCATGGTGTTCACCATCTGTCCACAGAGAGCAAGTACACATAGTAGCACAAAAACCGCAAAATCAGCATGCTGTCACCAAGACTGGCACCACACTGCAGTGTTCAGATTTGCAGACTCTTAACCTCCAAATTTGAGAAATGTATACCGTCACTCAAATTGGGTAAAGATATTTATTTGGTACCCTGCATCTGGCTACTACGAAGTGGAAGAGTTGCTGCCTTCCCGTCAAATGTTTAAATATGTACCCAACCTATTCATGGCTAGAGTTCTGACCACTTCTATGTGGTCTATAGGGCTGTCCTCCATGTTAAATAGGCAACCCGATTATCTGTACCATAGGGTAGAATCCTTCACTCCCCTCTGCTGTGCTGGGTGAGTACTTGAATCTAAAGCTTACAAACAGCCTGCTGTGTGAGTTTCCATAAGGCAAACACTGTCAACTGGGCAACTTCAGATATTACCCTAATCCATTGTTTTGTAAAGTTGTCAAACCTGATACTTTGGGTGGAAAGGTGCCATACAAAAGTGGAACCCAGTTGCACTCGAAGCCTGTATCTCAGTGGGAGTTCTAATCAGGTTGAGTACAGTTCTGTGCTACACCAAGCAGCTTTCAGTGCAGGAGGCAGGCCATTAAATGCTCTCTGAATTCCATTAGTCACTCCTGCTGTGAGTGAAAGTCCTCCTAAGTGCATAAAAATTAAATTGCCGATGATGTAGAGAACAAGATGGTACTCTGCTGCCAAACATTGTTTTCCATTGAAATGGTAGACAATCACACATGTAATGTAGCCTTTGTAAGAAGGACCTGAAGGGATGTGGCGCTGCCTGGGAACCTGTTTTCTCAAATCTAATGACTTCAATTGTCTGGTAACTACCTAGTTCTGCTTCAAGAGACTGCCCTCTGTTCTCCAACCCCCAGTTGGGTTAATGCCCAGTGCATATAGCCCACAACCTTTGTTCCAGGCTGGATGTAGAGATGGGTCTGGATAAGTGAGAGCAAGAAAGGCTTGGCCTCAGAGACTCGGAGACACATATACTGCTATCACTAATAACACGTTTTGCAGGCTCTACCACCATCCGGTAGACAAGCCTCTAGGCATGTCTATGAGGGAGCATCTAGATTAGGTTTCGATAGGAAGCCCCAGCCTAACTGCTGGACGGAGTATAAGGAGAAAGGAAGCTGAGCAATTGCAGGCATCCATTTTTCTCTGCTTCCTGACTGTGGATACAGCATGGACTGTAAACCTCAAACCATGAGCCCAAATCTGTCCTTTCTTCCTTAAATTGCTTCTGTCAAGCTACTGCATCACAGCAGTGAGACACGGAACTATACATTCCTTTCAACTCTCTGTGTTAGGCCCTTACGTGTGAAATGAACAGAGAAGGCAGGGTCCAAGGGTCCACAAGAGGAAAGCTGAAAGCTGGCAGGACAGGACCCCCAACTCCTCGACTAGCTCAGAGGCCAGACTCCAGCTGTTAACAGCTGAATTTTCAGATTACATTGATCGAAGGATCTACATGTTCCCTACCTTAGATCTGCGTTTTCTTTAACTGCAGTCAAAGTAGCTTAATCAAGGACAAGTTAAAATGGAGAAGAATATGCTTCAGTTTGGGCAGAGGCTAATAACCTCACCCTTCTTCAGAGCCACAAGTTAAGTGCTTTGCAGGGTCTTTTGGTAAGGGCCAGTACTGTCAGGACTAGAACCCTGGACCTCTGTTTTCTTCTGATGTGTATTCTCTACTGTGGGAAAAAAAATTATAAAAAGTTACCTATAACAGACACTGCCAATGTTTCAAACTCCTAATTAAAATTCTAAGAGTCACATATTGAATATACTTAAATTATTAAGTAAAAATTCTTTTAGAGAATCACCCTCTCCATTACACAGAATTTTAAAGACTAGATAAACATATTAAAAAAACAAAATTTCTCTGAAATATGCTTGTGGTCGGCTGTCGCAGCAACAGAAATAGCCCAACAAAATAGCTTAAAATGTTTTATTAAGTATATATAATATTACAGGGTAATATTTACACAGTTATTATTTTTTTAAATAAAAAAGTATCTTGGCAAAGATTGCAGGTATTCAAAGCTTCAAACAGTGATAAATTGATTTAATACATAAAAAAAAAAAAACCAAAAAACCTTTAAGGGTAACACAGCTGTAAAACAACTTTGGTCTTTAAATCACTGCAAAAAATGGCTACTGACAAATAGCATACCTTTAATTGCTATGCAAAAAGACCCCCAGGAGAGTCCCTTGTGCATAGCGACACTGGAGTTCTCTTACAATTTAGAATGGTTAATGGATATTTATATGATGTGGGAACTAATTCTCAACAATGGCTTTCTGTAAATAATGCTCTGTTTAATAAAGATAAAAAAAATATGTTTCCCTCTTTCATCTGTGATAACAACACTGAAGATCCCACCGATGCTGTCTTACAGAAATGCTTGTTAAAAATGCCTTTTCTTTCCCCTCAAACACTAGATCTATGGAAAATTCAGCATTAAACAGTCATCATTAAGGGCAGTGAAAGTTAAAGGCAGGCCAACCTCCTGGCCACTGCTCATTTTAAAGTTAACTTAGATCATCTCTGTTAGCCACCAAAGATGGCGAAACAAGACCCCCCAGTGGGGTGTGGCAGTTAAGAGATTTTTGAAAACTCCTCTCTCTAAATAAATTGTCAATTAATTACAGTAAAAAGGCAAAGGGGTGCCAGACATTTTTTTTCCCTCCAGTTCTCAACAACAGGCAAACACAAGTGCTTATATTTACACATAACCTCTGGTGGCCATATTTGAATACCCACTGCAAGACAAGATAAACCTAGACAATGGTACACAGCTGAACTCTTACTAATGCGATAACAGCAGAGTGAACACACCGCTTGTTAAGTTTTATAAACTCAAGCACGATTCGGCCACTCTATTGACTACAACATCCTGAAAGAAAGCCTACTATGATACAGCCCCCATGACTTTTAATCGGATATTTCTCAACGATTTAAACAGACCAGACCTGTAATTTTTCAGGTGAACTCTCACCTTTTGTAATTTTCGAAGCATGTGAGATTTGTCAAAAGAAAAAGAAGAGAGAGAGAAAAGAGGAAAAAAAACCCTCTAGCTCGCCCCACTAAAAATTTAAGTGGAGGCAACTTTGCCATCAAATTTCAGCACTGAGTAGTATCTAAAGTACACAGAACACCGCGGGCAGAAAAGGGAGGCGGTGCTTTTGCTGTGGGGGGAATCTTAAAGTCCAGTGAGAAGAATAAGACAAAAACCAAAAAAGCAAACAAACAAAAAAAAAAAACCCCCACAGAGCTAAGCGGAGATCCATGAAGCACCAGGAATGGTAAGTGAGAGATGAAAGAGTCCCCAGATGGAGGGGGCGGCCGTGCGGGAGGAGGGCTGGAGCAAACAGTTTGAAAGAGAAGAAAAATGGGATTCAGCCATAAAGGCTTGAAAAACTGTTGCAGAAAGTGACAAATGGCACTGCTCTCTACTGTTGTATAAATGGAGAGCAGACAATAAATAAAAATTGAATAGAGGATATGACAGCAGAAATCGGGATCAGGGAGAGTAAAGCACATCGTGGGACAAAACAGATGCGTGGTGCCCACTACACTGTTAGCAATTTAAATCGGGTGGGACGAGAACTGGGAGCCACTGCGGGTTTGACTTAAAGAGGGTGGACTGGCCCAATAATGCCCAGGCAGGAGGACTCTTAAAGCTGCCATCCTTCACACAGAGAAGCTGATTATTGGGAGCAAGAGTTGAGTTTGTCTCGCGTTTCCCTGGCTACCACCGATGGGACTGTCTAGGGCACTCAGTGCCTCAAGTGGCAGGCAGCTTAGAGAACATGACAGCTGATTAAGACCCAAGACTGAACCCCGAGCAGAGGGGCGTTGACTACATATTAAAAGGTACAACTTTAGTTGGTAAAAAAATTTGACTATAAAGATTTTCACACCTAACTTTCCTAAATAGAGAACAGGAAAAAATGAAACTGTTCCGAGTCCATCCGCTCTTTTCCTGTCTTCATCAAAACCGAGTTTAAGCAATCAACAACATGAGCGGAGAGTGTAAGTATTTTCAGAAGAACTAAAAGCATCAGGAGCCATCAGATTTGTATAAAGGCGTTCAGCTCCTCCACACATTACGCTAATATCTGTGACAGCTACGAAACCAGGGAGAAAACCTACTTTTCTTTGAGAAGCACTATCTTGGTACTGTGGTCAGTTTTCCGAGAGGCCTCAGCAGGTCATAGGTTTAGGTTTGCCACAGACAAACCATTTGGTCCCCACATGAAAGATGACAAAAAATTTGGCATACGAGAGGCACATGGAAACATTCATGGAAATAATCATTAGTAATGCAAACACAAACAGAAAGGCCTTTATTACGCAAACAGGAAAAAGTACTGGTGTTGTGTCAGAGGGCACTGCTGAGCAGTCATGAAAGCTTGGCACATTACCTAGTTTTAAAGTTTTAAAGAGCTCAAATAGTTGCGTCAGATATAATTCCACCCAATAAGGACCTTTGCTTTTAAATGTATTCACTAATAGCACAAAGTTAGCATCTGCTCTTCTGTAGATGCCTCACTTCTGTCCGTACAGAAGATGCATGTGCCTACTTCATACATGTGCACACACAAACACGCCCACAAACGAGGTAAAAACAAGTGCTAATAATCTAAAAGTACTCCATGCGGTCACAACTGTCAGGACGTTGGTTTTCTTCTAACTGGGTAGGGAATGTGGTAGTTTTATTTTACTTTTCAAACTTAGGGGAGGAGGAGGAGGGGGAGGAGGAGGCGGCAGGAGGTGGCAGGAGGCAAGAAGCAGGATACAGGAGGAAGGCAATGAGTGTTCAGCATGCAACATAGAGACAACAGGCGTAAAACCCCCTCCCTGGGCCTTGCAAGGGCCTGACGGAGACACATGTTGCCATGCAGGAGACACATAGTTCAGATTTCAGTCTTGCTTTGTCATGCCTCCAATCAGAAAACATGGGAAGAAACACTGTAGATTTTTTCCTTTTTTTTTTTCTTTTTCTTTTTTTTTTTTTTTTTTTGCCTTTAAACCAGAGGTCTGGAATACATATGTTACAACCATAGCTTTTATCTTTTTCTGAAGAGTCTGAGCACAGTGCTTTGAGAATAAGTCTGGCTCCTTTCTGCAACTGACACTATTGTGTCACAGGACCATGTTTAAAGAGGAGAAAAGGTATTATATCTTGTAACGCAAATGAAAGTAGCAGAATGGGACAGGGAGCAAAGGATCGTGTGCAAAAAGGAAAACCACATCTATTAAAAAAATGTATTCTAAATCTGGGTGCACTGTATGTCAAAGGGGGTGTGTGTGAATGATGGCAACCCCCAAGAATGAAGACATTAGAGCCATCAATATCATAGCACACAGAGGGGCCACAGGGATTTACCCACCCACATTCCTCTTTCTACTTCAGTCTCTGTCACTATGACCCAGAAGTGGCAGTCTTGTTATTCAGCTAGCAGCCTAAGTGGCAAAGCTGCTGGGAACCTGAGTTTACTAAGGCTTGCTGGATACCACTGTTTTTCCATAGGTATCTCTGGGTGACTAACCCTCAGGTTAGTGCTTGGTGAGTCTCACTCAGAATCGATTTAAACTCAGTGTTCAGAGACTCAAGGATCTAGCAAGCATCATTCTTGGAAGTTGCCCCTGAAACATCTGCCCCTAGTTGAGTAGAAACAATAGAAAAATGGATTTCAATTGATTACACAGCACATCATAATTTTTTTATCACGTAAATTACAGCTGCTTTGAATATAAACTTAACTGTAATAATCATTTATGGTTCGATGTCATTTTTCATGGATGAAAGTCAGTTACTGTTGTCTGTTCCTTCCAGCAGTAAGTCATGAAGGCCATGGTGCTTAGACAACTGTATTCTTGCACTTCTGACTTCCAAGTTACAGTCTGTCACTTCCCTTCACTTATTCTGGAAAACAGAAACATCGGCATTTCGTCACTACTCACGCCTACTTCCTATGCATTAAGACATGATCTGTTTCTAAAGCTTGAAACTGTTTCAGATATATTATATCAAAAATAATGAAAATGTATCTGTAAAGGTCACAGGCAGAAATCAGGCAAATCATTAGCCTTTCCAGTTTGGTAAGTAAAATGCCAACGACACAGGAAAATAAAATCAACACAGACTGATAACCTTGGTTTGCGGGGTAAGCTCAACAAAAGGCAAGAGATGTTGATTTTTCAAAGCAGAAGTTATTGATCCAAGAATAATATTCTATCATGTTCGCTTCAGATTTACAGATTTCGGTTAATATAAGTGAAACAGACTTGTGATCTGGCATAGGTGAAGAGCAACTCCTTGGGAAGGCACCCTGAACTTTGTTCAGGATGACATGCATGCCATGAGTCCAGCATGGACATCAGAAGCCACAGCCCATAACAAACATTTAAAAACCGAACTGTGATCAGCTAAATGTGGACAAAATTCAGGGTGTTTTCAAGGTCCTCACAGACCTCTTGTGCTACACAAACAAGTGAAAAACCAAACCAAAGTAATAAATAGTTCTTTATGGCATCTCTTAAAACAGTGACTTAAAAAAAAAGTAGCATTTAAAGAAAATTAACAAAGAGGCATTGAAGGTTTTCACACTGGTTTTCTGCAAATGGAGAATAGTTTACTCTTTATTTATTTATTTTTTATCCACTCAAAGAAAATTGATATCACAGTAGGTAGAAGAAAGAACACAAGAGTTGAGAAACAAGACACAGAGGGTAAACATGATAAAACCACGCTAGGAATCCTGGCATGGTTAACATTTGTTCCCACTATAAACAATATTTTTAGGTTGCAGTAGCTTGTGTAGCAAAACACACACTTAAAAGCTATGACAAAAGCCTGTAACCATGGGACCATTCTGGACTTCCCATTAAGCCAGAGCCTGTTTTAAATTTAGCTCAGATAACACATGAAGTGTTTTTAATCTTATGCAGAAGTTAATTGTGCTCTAGGGAAGAAGGCCTCTGTTACCTGCAATTCTTTGTTATGGAGGTGAACAGGCAGGTCACAGGCTTTACAGCAGTAAAATGTAAAGCAAAGCCTATGTGAGAAAGCAAGCACTGATGGCATCAAGTCACTTTTGAAAATAGAATATAAATACAAATGGAGTTACTAAATGCCAATGGGGCTGGAGAATCATAGCATATTAAGGTTAAAGAATATATTAAGGTGGAAAATCAGAGTTCTTGGGAAGAATTAACAAGTACATGTGTAGGTCATATTCAGGAAACTTGTGTTGCTGTTGATCTGGAGTTTAGAAAAGAGGGAAAAATCTGGGGTGAATAAAGAAGTCTCTTTCCTTTTAATCTTTTCCCACACAGTTGGCACTAAGTTCCTGCATGGAAAAGTAGATATATCACACCCAGTGTGACATGCAACAAAATCTCTCCACGAGTATAAAACTCTGTCAAGGTGAGACAAACATATGCCATAATATCTGCATGTTTTATGCATTTATGCAAGGCATTTTAAACATTCAATCTACATGTTCCCATCCATGAGACCCTACAAGGTCTCTTCTTTATCTACCTACAGAAAAGTGACACTGTCACAGGTAAAAGAAAGAACACAATACCAAACTAGATCTAAGGTGTAAGCATCACGAAACTTGGACATTCACGATTCACAGTGTCCCTGTCATTTTTTTTTAAAGTTGTAATTTCAAGAAGCTCTTTGCTTTCCTTGTAAATGTCCATGTGTCAACCAGTGCACAATCACATGCAAACTTTATACTTACCGTCATTCATCATTCCTTTTGACTCTTTAAATGCTGAGGATTAGTAACAAGCAGGCAGTTAGTCAGAAGGCAAGTTAGTAAGATTTCACAGTTAGAAATCATCTCAACATAAACAGATATGCAAGAACACAATGCCAAGTATCGCTTAACTAGACAGCTAGTCCCATTTGAGGCTATCAAAGCAATTTCTATGGCTCACACCCACAGCATCCACAAAAGCAAACAGACTTGCTGGGGAACACAGATCCAGATTTACACAGAAAGTAAGTGACACATTTTGGTATCACTCCATAGTGGCAGCCTGTATTTTTCTAAAATTGACAAATTAGAAATCAGAAGCCACAGAGATGTTTCTTTACTGAGGGTGTGACACTTTATCCTGTCCAGTATAAAAAGGCTCAGTGGTCCCCTTGCCCAAATGTCACTTGGGATAGCACAGGACAGTGAGAAGATTACAAAAGCAATACTATCAATTTCTGATTTAGGGTCAAGAGAGAATCAAGAGATCAAGGCAAGAGAACGTATGAACAAAAAAGCACTCAAACAAATATACTCCCAAACTAGATTCTTCCCAAGGGATTGATGGGTGTTCTAATGTCTTTGAGGATCAGTTCAAATTATTATCTGCTAATAGACCCCGACTACTTAGCTTATAATAATCACATACCGTTAAGGGGTTCCTCTACAGCTTTCTGGAAAATATTTAAAATATATGTATAAAATATATGTCACTTTATGTCTTTTATGCTAAAACTTACACTATCATTGAACTTGTATTATAAGTGGAGAATCCTATGGTCTAAAAGCAAAATAAGACAGCAAAAGCTAATGAAACAAAGCTTCCCCAGGCTAGTTAATAGTTTAATAATAACCGTATTATTCTCTTAGTATTTTTTTCTGTGAATAATTCCCCATTCCACCCACCATTCTCAGTTCAAGAAATCCTTATAAAAGTATTAATGTACAAACATGCAAATTGCAGTAACAGATAGAAAATACAGTTAAATAAGAGATGGTAGCGAAGCAGAATCATTTTTACATCATGCAAATTGAACTCTGTAACAGCAAGAAAATTGTTAGGATTTAATGGTCCATTGCTTAGGTTATCTCTAAGAGGCACTAGGAAAACTGCTAGCTGCTTGTGGCTAACACAGCTGTGACACCAGTCTCCTCAGAATAAAAGGCAGAGGTGAATTATTAACATTCTCTGCCCAAGCCCTCCTTTTGGGCGTGTCCTTAGAGGCTGCCAGATTTATCTGTCAGTCACTATGGACAGGAAGCTGAGTACAATATAGTCCCCTTCAGATCTTAATTCCACATAAGAACTCTCAGGCCTGTCACCATGGTGAGTTTATACGGTAATTTTTTTTCTCATACATTTCCTCCTGAATTTGTTCTTTTTCTTAGAATTTTCCCAAAGACCTTATGAAGCTAGTCAAATACAATGAAACAATTAGGAGGGAAAAATACTGATAAAATGCTAGGTCATTATTTGGAATGGATCTTTTCAACAACATATACCTTACAGACTATACTTTTTAAGTGAAGTCAATTTAGCACAAACTTCTCTTCCTTAATGTCATCCTTGAAACTGTGACTCTATGAACTCATATCATAGAAATCCAACAGATGAGGAGACAGAGTGGAATCAGCTTCCTTCTGATGGAAGAGATAACTATATTCCTCCTCATAGATTCTGGATATATAAAGGGAGTACAATCTTACAGGGACATGTCTCCTATCTCAACAGTACTTAAATGCCTCAAGGTAGGTCTTATGACAATCAGACCTATTCATGCACAGGTCCTGAAATGACTTCAGCATTGTCTTAATTTAATGTCAAATTAAGCAGAGAACAAAACAGTTCAATGTTCCAATCACTAACCCCTCATTTTAATCCACCAAACTATTGCTCTTAATTCATTTAATAAACTTGAACTTACCCTAGGTGGTTGTATAGTCCTCTGGTTGGAAGCTGGTGTAAATAGAAACATAAATGCAATCAATAAATACACGAAGCAATATAATACTTAATTTTAAGATAACATGTTCAGGACTAAAACCAGAAGGTGCTAGGTACTCCAATGTAGGAGTTCTAGCTTTGACAGTCTATTCCAAAACTACAGAGGAGTCTAGATTAAATGGACTGACAGGAGAAAGAGAAGCAAAAAGATGCCTATAGCAAATAATAAACACAGACTCACTCCTTTTTACAGAGAACAGATTTGCTAATGGATGCCAGAATAGAGGGCAGAAACTAAAGACAGGAGGGAAAAGAACAACACTAGATTGGTTTAAAGAAAGAAAGAAAGAAAGAAAGAAAGAAAGAAAGAAAGAAAGAAAGAAAGAAAGAAAGAAAGAAAGAAAACTTCCTTGTAAAACCAGTCAGTTCAGGAAGCCATAGAGCAAGCAAAGCAAGTCTTAACACACAGCCAGTGTCCCAAAGACGGGAAAACATGACTAGAAACAGTCTCTCAACAACTCAAGATTTTTTCCTAGGCACAACTTCCTACCCCACCCATCTCAGTTTAAGAAATCCAAGCGTCTCAATTTTATAAATGGTGTAAGCATTCTGAGAGCCACAGTGAATGCACAATGTAGTTTAAAGACAGGAGCAAAGCCAAATAATTTCCAAGTCATTTTGGACTGCTGAGAAACAATGTTAGGGCTTATAGGATTCCACAGAACCCCAACTGGCTAGCATACAAAGGCACGCCCCAGACAGCCCAGTGCCCTTACCCCGCCCAGGAAGACTCAGCAAGCTTCTAAAACTAATGAAGATCAGGCTTTCTCAAACAGGGAAACTACAGCCAACAGGCCACACATCACATTAGCACTAGAACTAGAGGAGGTTCAATAAAAACAACTGGAAACTCAGGGATAGGAGGGACAGGCTTAAAAAGAAAACAGAAAGTAGGCAAGGAAGAATTTGGAGTGTAGCTCTACAGGTAGAAAAGGAAAAGGAAGCAGCTATGGAATGTATCACAGTGAAGCAGGAGACTGGGAGCAAAGCGCAGTCATTCTGAAGTTATGTAAGTTGAACTCAAGAAACAGAGAGAAGGAAGTGCTCAGCTATAATGAGGCATCTACCCCATCCCCCACTGAGGCTCGGGAACACTGCAGGAAGAGAGGGCAGAAGGAATACAAGGGGTGGACAGAAAGCAAAGCTACATGACGGCTATCTTCAGGACAAGCTGCACACATTCTAACCATGAACCAAATGAAACTACATTTGTCTACAATACATCTCAACAAGAATAGGCCTGTCAGAAGCCAGGCATTGATGGGGAGAAACCCAAGGGGCCTGGGTCCCTACCATCAAAGGGATGGCCAATGACGGATTCTGAGCACTGGAGAGGTATTCCCTCAGTTGAATAAATACTCATGAACTTGTCAGGCTCCAGTAGACAGTTCCAAACTCACAGTCACATAGATGGCCCCAGTTAAACCAACTAGGTTTTTACACATAAGAGTAACTCATGAGTACAGCAAAGAGGTTTGCAGTGCGAAGAGTGGGTTGATGGGGTGCTAAGGAAAGGGCATGTGGAGGGTGACAGTAACCAGAATGTATTGTATATATACGTGTATGAGAATGTTGAAGGGCACATTCAGTGATAAAACACTGAAAAAGCACAGTGGTGTGTGCACAAATTCAAAAATAGAAGAAAAAAAAAAGGTGTTTAACTGAGAGTCCCGTGGAGAAGCCAGAGTTGTGCTGCTCTCAACCTCACTCAGAGAAGTTTCTGTTGGCGGTAGTTGTTTCTTAGAGGTGAATGCAGACTCATCAGGAGCCAAAGTGCTGAGAGTCAGCGACCGGATGTTCAGCCACAGATGGGCCCTCTATCTCCACCCATGGCCTCGTGAACATCTCAGAAGACAGACCTGAGAGAGCTGGAGGGTGGAGAGGAGAGCTGAGAAATGCTGCCTTCAGGACACGAAGTCACTCACGGACACACCCAACTCACAGCAGATGCAGTTGGTTACACAAGAACTGCACAAGATCCAGCCAATCAAAATTCCAGCATGGTTGGAGGAGGGCTCATAAGACCGACATCTCTAGGTAATGAGCTATTGGCAGGTGATGGCTGCTGAGGCGGAGAGAAATAAGTTTTCTCTGGAGATGTGTCTCCACTAACTGGACTCAGGAGACTATCATTATCATCATTATGATTACTGGCAAAATACTGCCACGCACATGTGGTCAGCATTATTTGGACTAGGAAGATTATCAATAATAATAATAATAATAATAATAATAATATTTTTAAGTGATTAAAAAGGGGAGACATGGAATCAGAAGGAAAATGGGTTAATATGGGTTAATGGGTCCCAGGGAGAGTTGGAGGGAAACAATTGGGGGTCTATATGATCAATATACATTATATATGTATATATAATGTATATTGTGTGTGTGTGTGTTTCAAAGGATAAATAAGGATCAGTAACCATAAAGATTTTTAGAAAATTTGGAGTTATTATTTTATGTTTATTAGAATTTTGTGTGTGTGTGTGTTTATACACACATATGTAATTTAAATGAAGTCATGCTACTTGGGGTGACAATACTGCCCCCAAATTCAATAGACCATATACCAAAAACCCCACTACAAGGCATGAGAAACCTTTCAAGGTGTTGATCAGGGGAGTTCAAGGACTCCCCGAACAATACAGGCTATTGCCATGGCCCTTAGTTATCTTCTCAAAATGAAAGTTAAGATCCTATTGCTAAAGACACCACACACTTTGGACTTAGGACTTGAAGGAATAAAGCTATATCAACTTGGAAGTCTCTTTTTTTAAAGACTAGATCTCAGGGTACAGCAAGGAAGTATGAAAGCTGCCAAAACAGAAAAGCAATCAATGATGCTATGCTGCTGTAACACTCACGAATCATGACAATGACCATGACAGCAAGACAAACCCAAAGGTATGACAGTGGCACTTCTATACTGAGGGTAACTAGCAGCTGTCTAATTAGATATAAGGCCTGATCTATAGGAGGGAATTCATACTTGACATGGTTAATCCTAGCCAATTACTTGTGACTGGTGAGGCCAAGGACCCAGAAGGGAATCTACTCTTGCTACTTCACCTAAAGCAGACCTGTGCTCTAAAAACTTATCTTTATACTCACAGATAAGTGTAGTTCCCACTTTCTTTCTGAAGCAAATGGAGATGATCACAGAAACAACTGGCCAATGTGTAGAGGACAACTGACCATGGGGTGCCTCACCCAAACTCATTAAGCTACAAAATAATTCCTATACCTACAGATAAGCATACAGGCTGGCAACTCTACAGAAGAAGGGGGCAGAAAGCATGTTAAAACCAGATGACCAGGATATTTGCTGCAGCATTTTGTGTAATGTACATGACTCCGCTAGAGTGTCTTATAGGATAGGCAAGGTGCACTCATGAAATCTCAACAACAGGGTTGCCTAAACAAGACCTGCATAATGACAGCACCAGATGGCATGACAACATCAGTGGGGAAAATCTCATCCTCACAGTTGTTAGGTCCCTGATTTTATTTTTCAAAATTTGATTTATATTTCACTTTTAGTAGTTAAGCATGTACATTATACGAAGCACAGGACTCAGCAGTAATCTGCAGTATGTTTGCCCTGGGATAGACCCATTGCTAGTGGTAAATGAGTTCACTTAGAACAGCTTAAGAAGAATCTCTACTGAAATATTTATATATTTATCAGAGTCAAACACTATTGTCTGTGGGGGGTGGTTTACTTCCTTATTTTTTTCTAAATAGTGAACTTTAATTCAATTGTCCTTCTTATATCAACAAACAAATTTCTTGAGGAAAACTGATACTCCGAAATCTTCCAGTTAGCAGTGTTGTGTTGTTTTTTTTTTTTTTTAAAGAAAAAGAAGTTTCAATTGATTTAATTCTCAAAGATGCCAGTAGGAAAGATTAATTGCTATTTAGTCGTCCTCAGATCAGAACATTTTAGTGGTATAATTTTAGCAGTACAGACCACCAAAAGGCAAGGAGTTATCTTTAGGATGCATTCCCCTCTCTCTTTAAATAATATTCTTATTTTATATGAATACTGTATTTATATCATTTCCGTCTGGCCTGTCCTCCCTACTTCTCCTCTGGTGTCCTGCCTCAAATTCATGGCCTCACATTCTTTAACTATTTTATATATAGGCAATGTAATGTATAATATATATGTGTGATATATACATATATATGTATATATCCATATATACATATATATGTGCTATATATACATGTGATATCTATATATACATATATAGATATACATACATATAACACACACACACATATATATATGTATAAGTATATGTGTGTGTATATATATATATATATGTGTATATATATATATATAATTGTGTAAGCACAACCTGCTGAGTTCATTAAGGGTTGTCCACACATATGTGTCTGTGACTGAGTCCTTGGGATTCATTCATGTACAGGAGGCCCATCCCCAGAGAAGACTGACCGATCCTCCTCTCAGTAGTCATGTGTTGCCTGTAGCTCTTCACTGAGGGGCTTTAAGTGAGTGACCTTCATTGTGGTGGCACTCAGGGAAGGTTTGTTCCTCAAATCCAAGCAAAATGGCAAGCTCTGTTCGAAGTGGCAGAGAGTGGTAGAGATATACCATAGCCAGCTGGCTCCCCAGTAAACTAAGCTGAGTTAGAGCATTGTGGCCATCAAGACACTGCCTCTACAACTCACCTCAAGCATCACATGTAAGTTTATAAAGCAAAGAGCTATCTACATTTTTGATTGGCAATACAAAGCATTCTTGTATAGCAGTTTCCTCTCAGAGTAGAACCTCTTCCATACTATAGGGAAGCTCCCTAGGCTCAAAAAGATTAAAAAAAAAATGTTGCTTCTGGAAGTCCTTGAAACCGATCAGATTCGCCAGGCTCCTCCCTCTCCCAGCTCATAGGAGCTAAGGCTGCTGCTAGTCACTCTCAGACAAGCTGTGCTGCCTAGAAGAGACTCAGATCAGACAAGCTACCAGGAAAAAACAGCTCATCTGAGCTGCCTGGAAGAAGCTCAGAGCAACTGAGCTGTCTGCACAGGACACCCCAACCCATTGAGCTGCCTGCAGGCTGGGTAGGGTTCCAGTTTTCATGGGCCTTTTGCCACCTATGCTAGACTGGGCTTTGGGAATGCCAGTGTTTTTGTTTGTTTGTTTGTTTGTTTGTTTTTTGAGATATTCCTGTTCTTGTAAGTAACCCCAAGAGAACTCACTGGATCCCCAAATTGGATTTTGGGGTTATCTGTGTTTTGACCTGCCAGTTTTCCTATAAGGGAAATCTTTTTAACTCCCCAGGAATACATACAAGGGTCAGAGATAACATTTCAGAGTTTTGTGCTCATAAATGTGTTCACCTTAAGTAACTCTTAAGGTGCACTCTGTTGTGCTAGCCTGTCCACTAGCACTAGATGGCTACTAAGTTCTCCCTTTCAAGTCTAGTTCGGCTAGCTCATCCTGAAACAGAACTCTAGGAACAGTGGCTGTGATCCTCGGACGTTACAGAACTAACTGTGAGGGATTTATTTTACCTGGATTAATTCTCTCAAACGATGATATAATCCGTGTGATAAAAAAAGGAGATGATGGGTCTGTTGTTCTCATGTGTCATGAGCCTGGGCATTCATATTCTCTCTCTCGCTCTGTCTCTCTGTCTCTCTCTCTCTCTCTCTCTCTCTCTCTCTCTCTCTCTCTCTCTCTCTCTAACTCAAAACGCAAAAGCTTTAAGCATTCCACACGTGCACACTTGCAGTCTTGCAATGATTCTTTCTGTGTTGCTCTCACTCTTAAAATACCTGACTACACTCCATAAATATGCTTTCGGGCTTTCAATTCCTCGGGAACAATTTCTCTAGTGATTTATATACAGCTTGTAAACACAGACGAGCAAAGCTATGTGAATAATTATACACACAATATATGTGTGCTTCTTTATCATTTTCAGAATACTTGAGGCGTTGTGGCAGGTACATTTCTGACTCCCACCAAGTGGATTTGAATCAAAACAGCTGTACCTGCCCTTATACTGAACCGAATAGTAAAGCCTTTAAAAAAAAAACAAACTTCTTGTGCCACACAAATAACAACTATGGCTGCTCTATATAAAAACAAGCTCTGCTATAGTGAGTACAGTTAGTTTCTACTAATCTTTCTTATTTGCTCATATGAAGTTATAACTTTCCAACTTCATACCATTAAAATTCTTCCCATAAGAAAAAAGTACAATGCAATTTAAAAATTATATTTTGCTATAGAAAGCAAACATTAAAATCATATCCCTTAAAATTGCAATTAAGGCTACAAATTTAAACTCAGAAATAATAAAGAAAAGTTATGATTATCACAGGGATATTAACTAACTTTAGAAAGAGAGCTTTTTAAAAAGGTATCTGAAGATTTTATTGCATTCAAATCAAAAGTCACCCATTTCTACAATGGTATCTGCAACCAGCAGGAATTATTTTGGAAACATGACTTTCACTTTCTGATAAGAATGCTCAAAGTTGCAACCTTAATGTTACGCATGTTTAGATTTAAGCAGTCAGAACACATAAGCAAAACACATTCATTGTCCTAGTCTACCACAGTATCTAAAGAGCAGTCATCCTGTACCTTTTCTTCTTGCCTTTCAACTGACCGAAGGTGTCTCTCTCCACTCTGGTGTCAGACAAGTTGATTTGAAAAGTTAATTTAGGATAGGCTCCAAGTGTCAATAAAACTGTACTAAATTCTTATATTACATATAGTATATTTATCTAGCAAATCATCATAAAAACACTTTGGGTACTTTGATTTCACTTTCATTTAACACAGTAATATGGACAGTTACTATGGCTTTACGATCTACAAAGAGCTATAAGCCATGGAGAAAGTTTGAGATCAGAGGGAGAAGGCAGCCACTGGACAATGGCAATGCTCATGGAAGCTATATGCAACAAAACTCTGATCAGATATGTAAGCCTGGGAGCAAAAGGATGCATTCCAGATAGAGGGGAACAACATAAGAGTGGCAAGCTGACGACCAGCTAGAGACACCTAAGCCCATGGCGTCGGAGCTGTGTGAATACTGCAGGTCACATACTGTTCTTAGCATTCATGGGAGCAGCCAAATCAGCAGTGTCAGCTCGCAAGTCCAGACACAGGCTGATTGGAAGACTAACAAAAATAGAATATGCATCCAAATTCAAGGCATCAGAGTCAGCTCTGGAACGCCAGCCGGCTACAGATGTCTTAGCTGTGCTTGATGTGGCCTAAAGTCGGAAAGATTCAGCGAGGAACAACTAATACTTATGAACACACAAACTAAAGGCAGGTAGACTTTGGAGTTGTTTACATAAAAATATTAAAGAGAAAAGAATATATATGTGTGTGTGTGTATGTGTGTGTGTGTGTATCAGATCAAATTTCATCATCAGAGATTAAGAAATAAAGTTCAGAAATAAAGGCGAAAAACTTTTTGAAAATCTTATGTAAATACTTTAAAAAGTTTACTGACTATACTATTTAACTTTTTGTATTCATTTTTAGAAAAACTTCATGTAAGAGCACATCAGAAATTCTGATTTGTTTCAATGGCATAAAAATAACAAGCTACTTCTTTTAAGGGAGACTCATAAATCCTATGGCTGGGGTCAGGTGTGGCTTATGCAAGGCATATCTAGTTCAGGCACCACTAAAAGCACTTATCTATGTCTATACATGTTCATAATAAGAATGCAGAAACCCTGTATTTGAGATTGACAGATTAAGCACCAAATAGTGAACCCAAGTCGCCACTTACTAGAAGCTGATTTTAAAAGGCAGTAAAATCTTGAATTTAAAGATCTCTTTTAATATACTGGCTTTTCACTAGAAGCATTTTAAAGCAGTGCACTGGAAGTCATTGCATATTAAATATAGACATGACAGTCTTTGATTTTCAGTCCCTTTCTCTGGAGGATTGTCTGTGTATGTAAGCAGTATATACAGAGACCAGAGGAACAGACAAAGAGCTCCACAAGAGGAAACTGGAACATGGACAGACCTTTCATAGTAATTAAAATGGAGCCTCCAAAGGTATCCTCTTTTGCTTATAAAAATAAATTTCATTCCTCATAATACACTGAACCATTTTCTTTCTTAGTTTGTAACTCCAACTTCATAAATCTGCATGCTTTCTCCCTCTTTAATTGGCATCCCTCCAATTATATTTTCTCATTTTTGGAGACATCAATATGTTTCTACCCTCAGCTGGAGGGATGCACTAAATCCATTTTCTAAATATCTGAAATTCTTTGTGGAGGCTTAAAATGGAAGATTTACTTACCGACAAACTTCATGTAAACTAGTCCAAGTAGTTCTGCTAGAGCTATGATACCCAAACCTGAAATCAAAAGGGGGCCATGCACTGGTTCACAAGCTGTAGAAACAAGAGAAATATTGTTAGAAATGGATATAAAGTAAAGAAATCTTAACTTAAAGAAATCAACAATAACTAATAAGATCAAGCATATTTTTTCTTTAGTTGTAGTTGTAGAATTCCAACTCTAGATTTACATACAAAGAGTACTACCACTCAGCTACATCCCAGAATATGTCAGCTTGAAGGATACTATGTTTTATTCTAATGACTAGTAAAATCTTTATCTACATGTATACAGTATACAAATATCTTTATTACTAGCTCACTAAAATAACTTAATAGGATAAAAAGCATTTTTAACATAGTGTATTCTTACTGTACCAAGATTAGTGAAAAATAAAGTCAAGGTAAAGTCAAAGAAAAGTAAAGTCAAAAGTGCCATTCATGTAGAGCCTGGTTCTCCCACAAATACAGGCACCATCATTGGCTAGGAGAGTGGTCAGCACTCTTGTAGCAATGGGAAAAATACTATTTATACTGGTGTGTGTGTATGTGTGTGTGTGTGTGTGTGTGTGTGTGTGTGTCCATGTATGGTTGTGTGTGTGAGGGGTATTGAAAAAGAAATGCTGAAAATTCCAAATGCTGAAAAATATTCGGAGAAGCAAGATATCTTTCCCTGATGGTGTTACCAAACACTGTTTGCCAGTTTACTACAAAAATTAACTGTACCTTACCACACAATGCAAAAATTACAGCCCTTGGTATTTAGCCAACTAGAGCTGAAAATTTATATCCACAAAAACACATGCTCATTGATGTTTACAGTAGCTTTATTTATCTGTCATAAAAAGAGGAAAGCAACCAGGATGGCCCCCTCAGTAGGTGAATGCAAAATACTAAACACATTATGGCAACAATATTTTCCAGCACTAATGAGCTATTAAGCTATAAAAAGACATGGATGAAACTTGAGATTTATATCTAAAAACGAAGGAAGCCCACATGAAAAGGCACATTCGTAACCTCCCTATTGTGTGTAGATAAGACTTTCCTCACAGTAAAAATCCAGCTCTAAGGCATTTTGAAAAAACACAAAACTACATGGAAAGTTAAAAAGGTCAGTGGTGTCAGAAGTCGGGGTGGCGGGAGACAGATAAACAAGAAGTACATGGGGGGAGGTTATTCCATGTGACATCAGAAGGAGTATCATACATGTCACTGCACATCTGTCACAGCCACGGACTGTATGTACAACACCAGTTACCAAGCGTGAGATAAGCTATTAATGTATGGTGGGAATGACTGTTTCCATGATGGGTCATCCACTGCACCAATGTGAAATGCTTAGGGAAACTCTGAGTCTTGGGGAATAGAAAAAGGGTAGGATATCCGGTAACTCTCTGTACTTTCCACTAGGTTTTTCTATGAACCCACAGCTATTCTAAAAGAAAAATCCATTTAGGAAGAAGAAGAAGAGGAAGAGGAAGAGGAAGAGTTAGAGGGAGAGGGAGAGGGAGAGGGACAGGGACAGGGAGAGGGAGAGGGAGAGGGAGAGGGAGAGGGAGAGGGAGAGGGAGAGGGAGAGGGAGAAAGTAAGAGCACTAACCTAACTGAAACTCCGCTCAGAAACAGTATGACTCACCCATGATGCAGAGACACAGCCCGACCACAGCAAGGACATAGCCCAGCACTTGAGTGATCAATATGGCAATGGTGAAAGAGGTCATTCCAAAAGCTGAGGGAGGAACAGGAAATAACAGAAACGTGTTGAGAACTCTGATGTAGCAATCAGTCCTGTTGACTTTTGACACACTCAAAGATGGACTGCAGTCCCTCGCAAGATGACATGTTTCCCAGTTAACCTTCGAATAGGAATGTCAGCTCCAGACTCCACATTCTGCAAGCTTTTACTGCCAGATATCTGAGAGGGACGGGTGGCTTGAATGGCTTGTTATGCATGGCTTCTGCACATGCACACAACTGTTCTGAGGGGGAGAAAAGCCTAACACATAAACATAACCTCTATACTCTGTGGGTGGACACGAGCTGTGCCTTTCTAACAAACCTTTAAATGCAGCCTAGGAATTCAGTGTTAAATGAGTGCTTTAACAGTAACAAAAATATGACCTTGACAAATTTTTAAATGCACAAAAAGATATTGATTACGTTTAGAATAGCTATACAATTCAGTGTTACCAATGCTTCTGAAATTCGTGACTTATAATCCCACCTCACAGAACCAGTCTTTCTACTGCAAAGGTTTACTAAAAGAGGAAAGACAGTCCTTCTAATATCGACTTACAGCTACAAAAAGCTCCCAAATTAGAACATGCAATAGCCATTAAAAATTACACACCACACTTTAAAATTACACCAACGCCATTGGATATGCAAGAAAACTGCTTCCTACAAAATAACTTTTGAGAAGACCTAACAACTTGAAAATTAATCTGTATGGAAAATGTCACTAAGAACACAATGGACAATGGAATAAAGCAGCTTTTACTGAACTGTTAAGAATATCGTCACTAAGATTTTTTTTTTTGAAGGAAAAAGGTAAAAACCAGACTGTAAGAACAAAGACTCACCTGTCATAAACACATTGTACTGAAGCAGTATTAATATTCCCGTAGAGATTACAATGAGGCCAAGTCCAGAGGCGTTCTTCACGGGTTTTTCTCCTGTTAGACAATACTTAGATTTAAGGTATTTTCTTATGTACTTCTGTGAAGTTATATACTTACTCTGCTAAATGTTTTAACCTTGATGCTACCTTATAAACTGTAAAAGGCTTAAAAGGGTTTCCTCAAGTCCATACAAAGCAAGTAATTCTTATTTTATCATTTAAGGCCAAACTAAAGGATCCATGTCTCAACGTGATGAATCTTTCATTTGGCTTTAACTCTTTAACTACCTTACAGGATTCCAGATGATAAACTTGCCCTGAGCTTGCACCATACATTCTCAGGATTCAGTCTGTCCCCTAAGCCAAATCAGTTCCTGTCTCCTGATTTCTTCACCTCCCCAGGCCTGGATGCAAACACAGTCACCAAATCTGTTCCTAAGATCCTCCTGTGCCACAGTGTCCCCAAGAGAGTAGTGGCACGCTATGGTCTGCCATGGTGAGCCTGGGCTTTGCTTTCCTTTCCATCTTCTCTCTGCCTCTATTTCTCACTCACACTTCCCCCTCTCAGCTGAAACGAGCACTTCAGACAGACAGAGCTCAGAGTGCATGCCTATTTCCACATCTTAGCCAGAAAGCTTTGCCTCCAGAGTGGGTTGAACTGGAGGTTATATTCCCCCCTTCCTGTCCCTAGGAACCATGAATACAACCTCATGTGTCAGAATAAATACTGAATGGGAGAAGATATGCTATTAAGTTAAGGATGTAGAATCATGATCTGACCTGAATTGAATGAGTGCCTGAATACCTAGTTAGTGTCCTTGTAGAGGGGATCAGGGAGGCAGATCTCATACTGACACAGAGGTCACAGAGGTCAGGAGGAAGCAGTGATGGGAGCCACTCTACTAAGGAACGAATTCTAAGCACTGTCAACACCAGGAGCTAGAAGAACAAGGACAAAAATTCTTCTCTGGAGTCCCCAGAGGGGGAAACAGCCCTTGAGAGAGAGTTTAGACCACATCACTTGCCACAATCTGTCACAGCAGCCCTAAAATCCAATACACGCCCGCTTGGGATGCTGCCTCACCTCAGCCCACAGCCCTGATCCTGGTGCCCATACATCTTACCTGGGATGAGAAGGATGGCTCCAACAACCACGATGACTGTGAGCACCAGCCCAGCGACGAGCAGCAGAATGATTCTCTTATTCGTACGGCTGGATTTATATTTGAGTGCTTTAAGAGAAAAACAAAGAATTATATAACTCAGTCGCAAGCGATGCCATTTCTGTAGCATACAATGTGAGAGAGAAACTGACAACCCTCTGTATGTGAGAAACCTCTGAAGCACCACTCCTTAGCCCCTACCTCCTACCCCCATGCATTTTTATAAGTCATGGCCATGTGAATGTGGATGCTGAAGGGGTAGGTGATATTTTATTCCGTGCACTTTATATAATCAAACTACACATAAAAGCCCTTCTAAATTGAAACATCATTAAGCCTTTTCACATTTTTTCACCAAGCCGTGGATCTGTGCATAGAATATGGCAGAATACTTGGACCCTACATACTAGATGTCAGAAGAGCAATCAATTCTATCTAGCAATCAATGTGCTCCCAGATACTTTCAACTCCCTCCACCCCAAGAAGCAAAATTACCTCAAATTCACAACACAGCAGAGCCACACACAATGCTGGTAAGACACAGCTACACAAAGAGAGACACTGAGAAAACAAATGTCCTTTTTAAAAACTTAGCAAGCCACCTAGAAATCTAGGTGATGCAACGAGAGAATGAGAATAGAATAAACAATAAACAAATCACATCCTTAATATCCCAGCAGAGAAAAACTCCTAAAACTTGCAACTAAGACACTGAAATAAAAACATTGCCAGGGTTCAAGAAGATCCATGGTGGGCATCACTGGTCCTGATGCATGCTCAGTCTCGGGTGCCATTTCCCTCGCTGACACAAAATGTCTCAAATGATAGGTCGCACAACATTTTCTTTTGTTCTCTATTGATCTTTTTGTTTTGTTAATGATGAAGGTTTTGTTTTTCATAAGAAGGAAAGAAAGAAGGAAGAAAGGAAGGAAGGAAAACCACTAAAGGCCACCAGAAATAAGACTGAGGAACAGAGGGCTGTAGGATGAGAAACTGACATGCTTCCAGTGCCACCTGCAAACTGATAATCCTGCTTGCCAGCAACCAAGGGGGTGTGACGGCATCAATCAGAAAAGTCCCTCACAGGCTCAGGTATTGGAACACTTGGTGGCGCTGTTTGGCGGAGGTAACGCATCTTTTAGGTCATGGAGCCTTGCTAGAGGAAACAGGTCACTAAAAGCAGGCTTTAAGATTTTATATATTCCTCTCTTGCCAGTTCATGTTCTCTCGTTCTCTCTCTCTCTCTCTCTCTCTCTCTCTCTCTCTCTCTCTCTCTCTTTCCCTCCCTCCCTCCCTCCCTCCCTCCCTCCCTCCCACCCCCCCTCCCTCCCTCCTTCCCTCCCTCCCCTCCCCACGCCCCTTCTCATTTTTAAAGCTGAAGATGTGATCTCTCTGCTCCATGGCAGCCATGTATTTCTACCATTTATGAACTTTCCCTTTAGAATCATAAGGCAAGACAAATATCTCTTTCATCTTTAAATTGTTTTTGGTCATGATATTTTATCACAGCAACAAAAAGCAACTAATACAGGGGGGAATTGTTTTAAACGTTGTATTTGGGTTTAATTTTCTTTTACTGAAATGATGAACAGATTAAATACAATAAAATCAGGAAAGTACTTAATGACCATAATAAAAATCTATCATGGAGACACCTGAAGACTTTTATTACTCTACTGTTCTAGTTCCTTTCCTGTTGTTGTGATAAACACTCTTACTAAGAACAACTTAGGAGAGGAAAGGGCTTATTTCAGCTTACTGATTAAATCTACCACTGAGGAGCATCAGGGAAAGAACTCAACCAGGAACTTGAAGCAGAAACCAGAGAGGAACGTTGCTTGCTGGCTCCTTATGCTTAGCTAAATGTCTTATAACACCGAGGAGGACCACATCTGTTCCGGGAATAGTGCTGCCCACAGTGGGCTTGGCCCTCCTTCATAAATTATCAATCAAGACAATTCACCACAGGCCAATCTGATCTGGGCAATCCGTCAACTGTCCCTTCTCAGGTGACTTTAGGTTGTGTCAAGCTGACAGTTAAAGCTAACTAGGAGAGCCTCCTACTCATTCTTTTGACTAGAATCTCACTTCTAGTCACTTCCAGAGGAAACAGTGGTCCACAATTCTGAGTAACTGACACTCTTAGGAACATGTGGCAAGATCCCTGGGCTTTGTTCGGTTGGTTACCTCTATCAGGCCCTGATGCTTACAAGATGACTGCTCAGTCCCATCCCTGTCTCCTTAGAAGTTTTCAGTTTCTCTACTTTCAAAGCTCCAACACAAGCTAGAACGAAGCACAAAGATCACAAAAGACAAAGACCTATTTCAGAAAGGCAGAAACACATGATTCTCTAGGCGTGTGTTTTACTTTCCATCTAATTCCATATATACTGCCATCTAAATATAGTATGAAAACTCTGTAAAAGTTGCAACATAAAAGCTGTTTCAAATGAACCACAATCAATCAAGCATTCATTAGTGACTCTTCCAAGTTTAATACAAAAATATGAGCAATTAAAATAAAGTAACAGGGATTTAGAATACAGTCTAATTTCATGCAGGAACATTGGCTGGTATCATTCTTATTAAAAATAAAAGTCTGAACAACACATAAACTTCATCCCCTTCAGGCTTAGTAGGCAGAGTAGATGCCAACAATAGCAAAAACAAACAAACAAACAAACAAACAAACACTACGAAATACTACATCAGGAAAGTCTTTCAAGTAATCTATGTGTTGAAGGTTGTGTTAGTTCATGGTGACTGTTTCAACTACCATTTTCCAGGTTACCTAATTTTCTTAAATAAGATACTTTCTTAAATTAGCTATTGTAGCAAATGTATTACTGAGTCTTAAGTAATTCCAGGCAATGGAAGAACATCTGTGTTTCTTGAGCAAGCATTCAGAGATAGTCTCTTCTGGCTCATAGTCTTTGCTCACAATGGCCACATTCAGCTGGTCCCCACAGCAGAGAAGGAAGGTTATCTACTTAGTCAAGTTACCAGTGTTCTCAGCTACAGTGACATTCCACAGAACCCAATCATCTCAGGGGCTTCTACTGGTGATCTCTTGTCCCTTAACCAGTAGATTTATCCCTATTTATGCAATTTATCAAGATGTTAAAACACAACAGAGACAACATGAATTAAAGTAATTTACCAAATATTTAAGATAAAAATACTTTTAGTATATTCTTCCTCCTTTCACTTTCTTCCTGTTTTTCAAAACAGGGTTTCTCTATGTTGCCCTGGCTATCCTAGAGCTCACTATGTAGGCCAAGCTGGCCTCGAACTCACAGATATCTGCCAGTCTTTGCCCCCCAAGTGCTGGGATTAAAGCTGTATACCAACACACCCAGCTTAATTTACTGTTCTCTTAACAGCAGGTTCTTATTATAATTTTGCTATAATTAAGCTTTCTATTATAATTTTGTAGTGTAGCAGAATAATCCGTGTGATTTCAACAATGTGCGTGCTTTTAAAGATTTCTCCTCAGCCAAAACTCCTGAAATCAACACTTAAAATACGTAAGAAATAATGGCATTTACGGCCTTGTTTTGTTTCTGGAGACACTGTCTTACTATGTAACCCTGGAAGGCTTGGAACTCAATTTACAGACCAGCCTGGAATTAAAGTATGTGCCACCATGCCTCTCCCAGAATTTATATATATATTTTAAAAGTTTCTAACATTACTGCTGACAGACACAGGAAAAACAACTATCAGGGGAAACCATATGCCATGACTTTTTGTTTTGTGATGTAGTCTCCCTGCATAACACATCCTGACCTTGAATCTCCAGCTCTCCTGCCTCTGCTTCTCAAGTGCTGAGATCCCAGGAGTGTACCACCATGCCTGGCACAATGTGACAGTATTGACCATAACATTAGATATTCTTCTAATTCAAATATATGCTTTATAATCTCACATCATATGTACTATAGGATAGGTGGGACCATTTGCAAATTTTTACTGTGTATGCTGTAACATACCCTTATATGAGTCCAAATCAAGGAACAAGAAACACATTGCTTTATTCAACAAAAATTAAGTACTACCAAGCCACAGAAAGCATAGGTCCAGTCTAGTCTTAGTTCCTTGCACACCAACCCTTTGAAATGCCAGTGAACAAAGAAGCTGTGCACTCTTCTAGCAACCTAAATGAGGGGTTAATCTTATGAACAAACATGATTTCTCAGGCCTCTGCCACTGACACAGAGCACATATTAAGATAGCACATGAGTTGTGGTTGAAGAAATCTAGTAAAATAATCAAGCCAATCTGGGGTTAAATCAAATCTATCATGCTAAATTTTTATGCTCCTCTAAAAATGAGATACAGACCAGCCACTAAGGCCCATACAGACTGTAGATTACCTAGAAAAATCTAACACTTGCTCAAAAGACATGACATTCAAATAGTCCCCAGCCACATGACTATTGAGAAGAGACAGAAGGTATACTATCGAGATAAAGTTTATATCAGATTAAGAGTAAATCATAAAGGGAGACAAACCATCGATTTAATTATTGTACTGTTCTTTTCTGATAACTCTGGCAAAGTAATTTAGACTCCTTTGGCGTCCGTTGGGAAGAAACCAATATTATTTTCAATATAATTTGATAAAGTACATATGATAACTTTTAAAATCAAAGTACAATTTCATTATTTAAACACACACACATAGATGAAGGCCTTGTGGAAATGGTGCTGGAGAAAAATGAACTGCCATGTATAAAGTGTTTATTTGCCAAGAGTGAGTAAGATAACTGTAACAAATTCCACATCCTAGCCAACTTCTCTGATGAAATAAGTTTATCAGGATGAACACTACAAAAGATCACATTCCTTGTCCACGGGCCTAGAAAAAAAACCAGCTTTTGTTTTTTAACGGCAAATATATGAGCACAACAGAAGGGAATGTACAGCAGACATCTCCTGATGACAAATTAGACTGGTCTAATGGAACGTTCCAGAATTACAGAGGATATTCAGGGGCAGTGTTGTCCAGATTTTGAAAGTGTAAAGGAATTGGTGACTACATTTCTGTAAGAGTAGAATGCTGTGTTATAGTAGTTTGGCCCAGTTCTTCCTACAGGAAAGTCACTGAGGAACTACATGGCTTAGTGATCATATGAGCACTACAGGGAAGGACAAAGCTTAACACTGTTGAATAAAATTCACATTAAACTTAGCATAAATACACATTATGATTAGGGGTCACCAACCAGGTCACAGATTGACTTTCTGTAATAATATTTGTCCGAATGATATTTTTATCCTCTTGTTTGAATAGAACTCTCTACTGCAATGTAGTGTTTGTCCCCACTTTTCCTGAATTATTTTTCGTATTCAATAAGAAAAAATCCCTATCACATCACTTCATTTACAAGTGCTTTCGAAGGCCTTGTTACTTTTGTTAATCTAGGCTTTGAGGATTTAAACCTTAAGGCTCTTGTGATGGGGAACTGCTTTCCTCAAATTTCCCAACAATGATTGTAACAACATTTTCTCAAATAGGGCAACTTTGAGTGGGGATCAGAAGGAAAAGTAAATGAAAGATGTCTAGAATACACAGAAATAAAGCCCAGCCACTCTCACGTGACACACTTCTGGCATGCATGAGTCCCATGGTTTACTTGGGGAACTCAGTCTGAAGTTTCATGACCAAAGTGAAACAAGAGAGTAGTCCATGAAGTATGCCTCATGAGACAACTTTAATACACAACTCACAATATGATATAAATAGAAGAAGTGTCATCATGTCACAACTACTGAAGACCAGCCACTGCATGGTTATACTCAGTTTGGGCAGACAGCCAAGTGCCTGGCTATGATACCTCCTTGTCTCCCAGTGATAAGTCCACAGGCACTCAGTGTATCATCATAAAAGGAAACTGGGCAAGAGGATTGAACAAGCCAGGAAATGACAAGTGTGAACACTGAGCGTGACATTCAAATAGACCATAAGCATAGTTACAGGAGAGCTACTGTGGCGATGCTGACACTGCCACCACAGAGAGCCACTCCAGAGACAAGTGGGAAGCTCAGGGAAGGCGAACTCACTAACATGAATGAAGTAAGGACCATGTAACAATGGGAATGTCCCTGAGAATGTGACTCTGGAAAACAAAAGAAAAAACAAAAAACAACGAAAAATAAAAGCAAATGCAAACCACAAATACATCAAATAAAAAAAAAAAAAACACACCACACCACAGAATTCTGAAACCTGAAACTAAAGTACAAAGCTGCCATGCTGCAGGCTGAGAGGAACCAACAAGGGAGCCTGACAGTTTACCACGGGATGTTTGCTCTGTTTCCAAAGTCACAGAGCAACACTAAAGGCATCAAGCTGTGCTTAACACAACATTTCAAATACTGACTTTTTAGCAGTTTCATTTGCCATGCATTAATTTCAACATTATTATTAAGCTTCGTTTTCTAATGCAGCTATGGTACGGAAGCTTTAATATTTTCAAAGGTTTTTATTTCTGTATTTTTAATTTTTGTACAGGCTCTTGCTATGTCGTTCTGGTGTTTGTTCTGTAATGCTAGGATCACAGGCCTGCACCACCAACACGGCTTGTTTTGACAACATGTTTTGAAGGCCACTGTATGATGGTAATTTTCCTTTCTATTATGAAGACTGTTTGCAGAGCTCGGCTTCCATAGCCAGGTTCATGGTCATATGTGACTGAGTGCAAACTAAAGATCATCTATCTATATAGGACAAGGGTTAGAGGAAAAGAAAACAGAGGATGGATAGCCAGCTTTTTATGTATAGCTGAGCCTAAGCCTGAAAGAACTACAATACTATGCAGTACTTGAAAGCACCTATCAGCCATCAAAATGTAGGAAAGAACTTACATTTTCACAGTATACATGAAGAACTCTGATAATCAGCCAGGACAACAGCTGGTCAACAGCATGACTAACTCTTGAGTTGATCCAAGACAATGGGTCTGTCTTATGGTTTCTATTGCTGTGATAAACACCATGACCAAGAGCAGCTCATGGAGGAAAGGGTTTACTTCAGCTTAGAGCTCTCGGGTCACACTCATCACCAAGGAAAGGCTACACAGCTTTCTGTAAACAAACTGTCCTCAAAGGTGTAGGCTTCTACTTGCACTGTTGTCACAGATTCACATGCAGAGCCAGCGAGGACATTTCTCTGGTCCACTACAGCCCAGAATGAAAGGTGAAAAAGAACTAGAAATCCAGAAAATAAAAATCTTGGGTCTGTGTTAACATAAATGCATGACCACAGGTGGGACAGCACGTCAGAACCAAGGAGCGTTTGACAGAGTGGAAGTGAACGATGATTGGCTAATCAGTCAACTGATGGATTGCTTGATAGATTCGGGCCAAATACAAGATAGGCAGACATACCATCTTGATGGCATTGACTGACCAACAGGCATGGGCACACACTGACACACCTCAAACCTTTAGCTCAGTGCCCAGCAGTCCCCAGGGGTACAGGCAGAATAAATCAGCACGTGAGACCAACATTCTACTCTATTACT